TCTCTCTCTCTCTCTCTCTCTCTCTCTCTCTCATCTATCTATCTATCTATCTATCATTTTATATTTCAAGATTTCCACGTTTCCTCGGCAAAGTTCCACCGCTTAAAAGCTCTAATAACCAAAGTTTCAGGAAAATAATTTTTTTACCACAAAGTTTCCGAGAAAATCGAGTTTATTTCCTTAAAACTTTACGACATTTTTTTTCTTTATAACGTTCCGGTTTGTTAAGTTACAATTACCGGAAAAATATTATATTTTTGACATATTGCCTTAAATGACCGGTAAAATGGCTGTCATCAGTTAGTTCCGTCAAAATATAATTCTTCACCTTACAATGCCGGTAATAATGGTGTTCTGTTATATATCCAAGAAAAATTCCCCCTCTCGTATTTTTTAAATTCTGGGAAGTTTTGTTTTCGCGATAAAATGGCGGGAAATTTTGGTTCTTAATTGAAAAGGTTCAGGAAGATATTTGGCGTTCATTTTTTTTATTCCCGGCAAATTATTTTTATCATTATAACACCGGTAGTATTAAAATTCCATCGACCTTAAAATCCCTAAAAATAAATGAGTTTTCTCTAATAAAAACTATCCAAAAATTTCATTCACTTTACAAACTAACTAAAAAAGATCCCTAAAAAATCCTACACTTTAGAAACTAACTAAATAAAATCTCTAAAATATCCTATATATTACAAATTTAATACAAAACCCCCCCCCAAATCCTTCACATTACAAACTAGGTAAAAAAAATCCCCCAAAATCCTTCACTTTACAAACTGAAATCCCGGCAAAATGGCGTTCCTTATTTCACAGCAAAAATACGGGACTTATTTTCCACTTGCAGTAAAATACTCAAGACTTGTTAGGGGAAAAATACAATATATCACAAGAGGTCGGGAATAAATGTTTCCAGCTGCGAGCCGTATTTTTCCCCTGAGTCACTTCTTCCGGATTATATTTACCGGAAAATGCACTCTCTCCCTCCCAGTTCCGGATAAGAGATACCGAGATATCCGGCAGTTTGTTCCGAGTGCCCTGAGGAGTACTACCAGCTAAGAGTGCCAAGAGAGCGTATGTTAGTAAGAGTGCCAAGAGAGTGTACAGTATGGTAGGAAGAGTGCCAAGAGAGCGTATGTTAGTAAGAGTGCCAAGAGAGTGTACAGTATGGTAGGAAGAGTGCCAAGAGAGCGTATGTTAGTAACAGTGTCAGTATAGTGCATGTTAGACTTCCAGTACAGTGCCAGTTAAGATGTTGCAGCACAATGCCAGGTGTGTTCTGCACAGTGACAGTGCCAGGGTGTTCAGGATGCAGTGACAGTGCAGTGCCAGGGTATTCCAGGACAGTGCCAGTGTGCCAGGGTGTTGCAGGACAGTGCCAGGGTGTTCCAGGACAGTGCCAGGATGTTCCAGGACAGTGCCAGGGTGTTCCAAGACAGTGCCAGGGTGTTCCAGGACAGTGCCAGTATAGAAGGTGAGTGTCGGAACTGAAAACACCCAGAAAACGAGACCAAATAATTCAGTGTTGGCGGGACTCACTGGAGCTATACCTGGAGTCACTGGAACCAACTGTCCGAAACAATCCAATAATACACGAACATACACACATACAGAGAACACGCAGACATACACACATACAGAGAACACACAGACATACACACATACAGGGAGTAAACAGACATACACACATACAGGGAGCACGCAGACATACACACATACAGAGAGCACGCAGACATACACACATAGAGAGAGCACGCAGACATACACAGATAGACCATACAGAGAGCGCACAGACATAGGCACATACACAGACATCATACACAGACATACACAGACATCATACACAAACATACACAGACATCATACACAAACAGCATACACAGAGTACAAGTATTCCAGTATATAGTGAGTGTGTTTGACCAAGTGTGTATTTATATCCCAGAGTCAAAGGTTATTTTCCAGCAAAGTGTGTGTTAGTGTTCCAGGCGAGTTCTTAAACTGAGCCCCACGGAGAGGTGGTGTTCCAGCAAGGTGTTAAGAAACTCCTACACCTGTGTGAGGTGTTAGAGGCCAGCAGGTGGGTGTAGCGAGACGGACAGCTTAGCAGGAGGGCCCCACAAATGATGCTGCTGGTGGTGGTGGTGGTGGTGGTGGTGGTGGTGGTAGTGGTGGTGGTGGTGGTAGCGGTGGAGTTGTTGTTGTTGGTGGCGGTACTGATAGTAGCAATGGTGGTAGTAGTGGTGGTGATAGTGGTAGTAGTAGTAATGGTGGTAGTGGTTATAGTTGTAGTATAGTGATTGTGGTAATGATGGTGGTAGTGGTGGTAGTGGTAGTAATGGTAGTAGTGGTAGTGGTGGTAGTGGTAATAATGGTAGTAGTGGTAGTGGTGGTAGTGGTGGGGTTCCTCTATTGTGTTAGGTCATTATCCTCCCTACCATAGTGTTAAGGCTCACCACAGGCTCCCGCACATCACACTAACACACAAGAGGCTGTGGTGAAGCCTCCCTCCTGATGACGCTTTAGGAGGAGGAGGAGGAAGAGGAGGAGGAGGAGGAGGAGGAGGAGGAGGAGGAAGAGGGGAGGAGGAGGAGGAGGAGGAGGAGGAGGAGGAGGAGGAGGAGGAGGAGGAGGAAGGAGGGAAGGGGTTGGATGATGAAACCTCCTGACAATGCTGAAGAAGGGAGGTGACCAAACAACGGTGCCTGGTGGATCCCCTACAGGAAAGTCACAACCTGAATCATGTCCCTAAATGATGCTCCTGTAGAGTACAATAGAGAATCCCAAGTAGAGTCTAAGTCAGGGTTTACTGTAGAGTATCAAAGTGAGTTTCCAGCTAAGTGTAAACACATGAAGCATCTCCAATAGGTCGAGTTTTAAGGTAGAGTTTTAAGGTAGAGTTTAAGGAGCGAGGAGAGTCATTGATTTATCTTTCTACACCTGACGGACGACCATGAAGGACCACCTAAAACGACCAGCTAAAAGGACGACCATCGTACAAAGGTCAACGAGGAACAGAAGAAGAAGAAGAAGGAGAAGGAGGAGGAGGAGGAGGAGGTATATGCTAGAACGGACGCTTAGAGAATGTTGTGATAGTTTGTGAAGACGCTATAGCCGCCGCCCCTTCCTCGTCTTGGTCAGGTACTAAGACAGTACAGATGATGCCTTGGTTTTATAAGTCTGTGGATGAGGTGAAGGAGGTGCAGAGAGGGATGGCCTGAGGGAGGCGGGTGAGGAGGTGGGTGAGGGAGGGTGGGGGGTGAGGCGGGGTGGGGTGAGGGAGGGGGTGAGGGAGGCGGGGTGAGGGAGGCGGGGTGAGGGAGGCGTGGGTGAGGGGAGGGTGGGGAGGTGGGGTGAGAGGGAGGCGGGGGTGGGGAGTGGGTAATGGTGAGGAGGTGAGGGAGGGTGGGTGAGGGAGGCGTGGATGAGGGTGAGGAGGCATGGATGATGGTGAAGGAGGTGTGAATGAGGACGAGGAGACGTTGGTGATAGTAAGGGAGGGTGGGTGAGGGTGGTGGATGAGGTGAGGAGGCGTGGATGAGGGAGGAGGTATGGGAGGGTGGTGAGGATGAGGGTGAGTGAGGGTGGATGAGGGTGAGGAGGCATGGATGAGGGTGGATGGATGATGGTGAAGGTGTGAATGAGGACGAGGAGACGATAGTAAGGGAGGTGTGGATGAGGGGTGAGGAGGCGGATGAGGTGAGTGAGGGAGGTGGATGAGGGGGAGGAGGTGGATGAGGGAGGAGGTGAGGAGGTGGTGAGGTGGAGGGGGATGAGGGTGAGGGGAGGAGGCGTGGATGAGGGTGAGGAGGTGGATGAGGGGTGAGAGGTGTGGATGAGGGTGAGTGAGGGTGGATGAGGGTGAGTGAGGATGAGGGGTGAGTGAGGCGTGGATGAGGGTGAGTGAGGCGTGGATGAGGGTGAGTGAGGCGTGGATGAGGGTGAGTGAGGCGTGGATGGTGGCTCCAGATCTTCAGGTCAGTCATGGAAATTAATGTGAAAACTTTGAGTTGGTCTCTTAAGACTGGCGGTGAAGTGGAGTGTCATGTGTAGCGGTGACTGCCCCACTGGCCCCTGAACCCCTGGTGGACGTGCGGTGATCATCGCTGTGTGCGTGCGGCGAATTGTGCGTGCACGACTTGCCGCATGCGAGCACGAACGGCCGCAACTAACTGTGTAGTCACGCCAGCTACCGGTTATCTCAACGCCACAGCAGCATCCAGCATCTGACCTGACCAGCGACCGTCGCCCATACACACGCACGTTTTTCTTGTGACGGCCGATGATGTTGAGGTCGGCAGCGGCGGCGGCGGCGGAACCGTGGTGTTGGCGGGTGCCACGGAGGGCCAGCGGGGTGCCAATGAGACGACCCCGTCAGCGGCGATCAACACACACACAAGTCCGTCACGCTCGCCGGCATCTTAAGGTCAAGCGGAAGTACACAACAACTCCCGGAGTGACGTGTGACACTCCCTTTACACGCGCGATTCATAACAAGGTGTTGTTTGAATTTTATGTTACATAATGAAAGAGACTTGCTGATGATTTATTGCCAATCTACACGCCATCCCGCTGTCTCTTCTCTTGGGGTTTTTGTTATGTTTTTTTACCGGTAAACTTGTATATCTTTTTTATGCTGTTAGTCGAGAGTAATCACACAACTTCTTCACCGACACTGTCAACAGAGGTTAAAGATGATGTGAGTGAGGAGCGGGTGAAGCATCTCCAGGTGGCGGCGGTGCTTCACTCTGACACCACATTTTGACATGTTGGTGAGGATGTAGGTGGCAACGTCGTGTCATGGGTTTATTGTCACTTTGTTGACACCTGGGCGAGGCGGGGCAGGTGGTGAGGGTGACGCATCGCCCCGCCCTACACCCTCACCACTCGCCTACCACCTCGTCTCGTGTCTGTGTACTATGTACTTGAGGTGTATCACAAGTGTATTGCGGGGTCCGGGAGGGACTCAAGGGCGGGGTGTTGCTCACACACGGACGACTTACCTTTTTCCGTTGCGACGCCGCCTCTTGGTGGCATAGACGGTTCCCAGGGCGTTCATGTTGGAGGTGGGTGTATTTTGTTGGCTCAGCATACTGAACGACGAAGCATCCTGGTCCCCCCGGGGGTCACTGGGCAGCGCCGCGGCACTAGGTGGCACTGCCGAGGGTCTGGCCGCTGCCACACTGGCCACACTATACCCGACACTGGGCCTCACGTGGCCACACCCAACACACAGGTGGACACACACCTCAACACGCGGGCTTAACGCTTCACTAGGAGGCTCGCGAGCTGCCACAACACACTGCACATGCCATCAACACGCTGCACTCATGTGCCACTGACCACAGGCGCCACACACCACACCGCCTCGCACACACAGAACATTCGCTTGTTTTGTTTTTACTCGGCGGGGCGGGTGGCAGCGCCGCGTTAGTGCGTCCGTGCGTGCGTTACTCCACGCCCCGCCCACCCCGCCCACCCGACCAATCAGCGCCGACCAGTAGGGCTGGACCGCCCGACAACCATCCCCACCGAGTCGCCGCCACCAGCACCAACATGGCGGACCAGCGGACGACGCCGTGCGCTCCACGTCGCAAGTGTCCTGCCACAGCGCCTCTTGTCCGAGTGTTTGTCTGTCTCTGTGTTTACCAAAGTGGCTGAGAGGAACCGTGTGAAGTGTGTGTTGTGTTGTGGGGCCCACAGTCCCTCACAGACCCCACAGGATCCTGACTTCCGCCCGTGGACGTCCCCACCAGGTAAGAGCGAAGGTAATTAGCCTGAGCGGTGGCCGTCAGCTCACCGCTACTCCGCGATACCATCTCCGGAGGCACCAACACACCGCTAATTAATTGTTGTTGGCCAGGAGTGAGTGGCAGACGAGGGCAGGAAGGAAGTGCACTCATCTTATCTAGGGGAGTCAGGAACCAGGTGAAGGTGACGGCGTACTCAGGTGTGCAGGGCGGCCCCGGTTCACCTGGTGGAGGTGGCGGCGAGGCAGGTGAGTCCCGCCACCCGCTGTGACCACCTTCCTACCTGTCCCTCCTCACCTGCCTACCTGTTTATATACAAATATGTAAATTCATCAACACGTAAACGAAGATTTATACACCCGGTATATACTGTGAATATAAACAACGCACCTAACAAAATAATATTCTATCATCACTACTCATTAATATTAACAAGCGGCTAACGATATATAAATAATTATATGACGGTACAATATATCACACACTGATTTGATTAAGAAGAATTATAAAACCCCTTTATTATATATCCGGGTTACGTATATTAATACCTACAAAGGAAGATATATTACCCCTCAGAGTAATATATGAACAAGAGACATATATCACAGTATAGGAGACGGGTATATTATAACAGGGTCATATAGTCTTGTTGATGATATGGCAGTAACGAGTATTTACAATATGTCTAGACTGTGATATAAGAAAATATAGGAAACACCGATAGGAGAATAAATTGACTATATAGGTGAAAAATATCTTGATAATTACTGTAGGATTTTGTTAATGTAATAATGACCACTATGATGATAAGGAAGTGATAATGTCTTTATTGATTATTATCATAATTATTATTATTTTTTATTATTATTATTACTATTATTATTATTTATATTATTAGTATTAGTATTATTATTATTATTTATTATTAGTATTATTTCTGTCTCAAAAAAGATTTTCTAATTTAGTATTATGAATCAGTAAAGCCAAAACAAAATATACCTTGAAATATATAATTACTGTCGGTTATAATTATAGGTTTTACCCGTATAATTAAGCTATATTACCCCGGTATAGCAGAAATAACTATATGAACTATAACTATAAGAGATATATAATTATAGGGACATAATCATTACATGACAAGACGGAATAGTAGTTTAATATTATTATTTCACTACTATTACTACTACTATACTACAGATGCTACTACTACTATTGCTACTATTATTACTGTTATTACTGCTACTGTTGTTACTACTACTACTGTTATTATTCAAATTTTTAAATAAAGTACACGATATACTATTATTATTAAGAGTACTATTTAAATTGTAAAAAAAACTATCATTGTAAGTAAGTAATAATAATAATAATAATAATAATAATAATAATAATAATAATAATAATAATAATAATAATAATAATAATCCTTTGAGAATTACAGAACTATTTATTAATACCATTATTATTATTATTATTATTATTATCATTATTATTATTAATGATGAAGTAAAATTAACTTTTTCTTTATTATTAATTAATCTCACTAATATCTCAGTTCCTTCATTATTCCTAACACATTTGTAAACAAGTTAGAAGACAATTAATATGTTAATAATAGACAGAAACAAAACGGTGACGCAACAGTTAAACAATAGACAGTTACATAATACACAGTCACACGGTAGACAGTCAAATAATAGACAATTAAACAATACTATCACACAAAAACACTCAATCAATAGATACACAAACTATAGGTACACAAACAATAAGCAATCAATCAATAAACACTCAAACGATAGAAACCCAAACAATACACTCAAACAATAAACATACAAACAATAGAAACTCAAACAATACACTCAAACAATAAACATACAAACAATAGAAACTCAAACAATACACTCAAACAATAAACATACAAACAATAGAAACTCAAACAATACACTCAAACAATAGAAACTCAAACAATATCTAAACAACCATTCAGAATAAAACAAATAAACATATCAATCTAGTTCCTCAATTCCCTCAAAAATAAAATTTGAAAAAGTTTTCATTAATATTTATATAATATTAATTTAAAATATAGTTTTATATATAACTAACCTATATATTTTCTAAACCTAACCTAACTTTAACCTAAGCTAATCTAATCTAACTTTAACCTAACCCACCCCGCCCTAACCTAACCAAACCTAACCTAACCTAACCTAACCTAACCAAACCTAACCTAACCTAACCTAACCTAACCTAACCAAACCTTTAATTATGATTCGTCTCAGAAATTATTAAAAATATATATATATATATAAAAAATTAAATAATAATTGATTTTTTTTCTGATTTTAATTATTCCTTTATTCAATTATGTATTTATTTATTCATGTTCGATCTTGTTTATATTTATCATTCAATTATTACTTGTATTTTCTCACATTCTTTAATATACATTTATTTTATTTGATGAGTTTATTAAATTTTATGTCAAGTTGTGTGATGATATGACAGGTTGTATGATATGACATTGTATGGTGATAATACAGGTTGTATTATATGACAGGTTGTATGAGGATAGGCTAGGTTGTATGATAATATGACAGGTTGTATGATATGACAGGTTGTATGATGACATGACAGGTTGTATTATATGGCAGGTTGTATGATGATATGACAGGTTGTATTATATGACAGGTTGTATGATGATATGGCATGATTGTATGATAATATGACAGGTATGATTATATGACAGGTTATATGATGATATAACAGGTTGTATGATGATATGACATGATTGTATCATAAGAAAGGTTGTATGATGATATGATATGATAGGTTGCATGATATGACAGGTTGCATGATGATATGACAGGTTGTATGATTATATGACATGTTGTATGATGATATGACAGGTTGTATGATATGACAGGTTGTATAACGATATGACAGGTTGTATGATCATATGACAGGTTGTATGACGATATGACAGGTTGTATGATGATATGACAGGTTGTATGATGATATGACATGTTGTATGATGATATGACAGGTTGTATGATATGACATGTTGTATGATGATATGACATGTTGTATGATATGTCATGTTGTATGATGATATGACATGTTGTATATGACAGGTTGTATGACGATATGACATGTTGTATGATGATATGACATGTTGTATGATGATGATCATGTTGTATGATATGATATGACATGTTGTATATGACAGGTTGTATGACGATATGACATGTTGTATGATGATATGACAGGTTGTATGATGACAGGTTGTATGATATGACAAGTTGTATGATATGACATGTTGTATGATGATATGACATGTTGTATGATGATATGACAGGTTGTATGATGATAATGACGTGGTTGTATGATGATATGACAGGTTGCATGATGATATGACAGGTTGTATGATGATATGACAGGTTGTATGACGATATGACATGTTGTATGATGATATGACATGTTGTATGATATGACATGTTGTATGATGATATGACATGTTGTATGATATGACAGGTTGTGTGACGATATGACATGTATGATGATATGACAGGTTGTATAATGATATGACAGGTTGTATGATGATAATGACGTGGTTGTATGATGATATGACAGGTTGTATGATAATATGACATGGTTTTATGACAGAAGACGCAGCCGTGGCAAGGTAGATACAACGCTCAACTCCTATCATATGATGCATTGCTTCGACAGACGCATATATACGTACACACACACATATATGCGTACACACACACATATATGCGTACACACACACATATATACGTACACACACACATATATACGTACACACACACATATATGTACACTGTACACACACACATGAGACAGACACATATATACACATGTTAATGACAGAGTATTAATGAAGCTGCCTATGATAGCGTTGCAAGAGAGAAATATTCCATGTTGCAGATTAACTTAGTGTTGCATTATTATTTTGTTTTTTTCCTAATAGTGTGTTTGTTATGTAGGTGTTTATTTGTTATTTGTATGTTTGGAAGCTCTATGTTTGTTTGTTATTTGTATGTTTGGAAGCTTTGTGTTTTATATTTTTTTATTTTTTTATTTTTTAAATGTTGTTTCTCTTTTTGTAAAGATTTTCACATTTTTATTTTTTTGCATCACTCCCAATGAGGTTTTGATGGGAGACAATTTACATTTTTTTACACTGTCTCTCTGTCTGTCTCTCTGTCTGCCTCTCTGTCTGTCTGTCTCACATCACACAGGCAATCATCACACAACTCTCAGCTCATTAGTTCAGTAAAAACACCTGTTGGGAAAAGCAAGAAACTTACGATCGTTACCAAATTCTTAAGAGAAAATATTTGGACATTTTTTGGTGGTTCCTGTTGCTTATGTGTCTCTTAACTGGTGTCTGTCTGTCTGTCTGTGTGTGTGTGTGTGTGTGTGTGTGTGTGTGTGTGTGTGTGTGTCTGTGTGTGTGTGTCGTTATCACCTGTTGATTGGTTCTACGAAAGAAATGTTAACCCCTTGAATACGATGACTTAATTAACCAATGAGTACGATGACTTAAATCCCTGAGTACAATGACTTAATTAATCCTTGAGTACGATGACAT